CAAAAAGAATGCAGTCCTGGATTACTCTCGATACTCAAATGAAATTGCCCCGAGACAGTTGTTCTTTGGAATGTCACGCAACGGGAGCATAGCGTCACACTCCAGAGAACACATGAAAGGTTTCCTTTCAACACATCCTATGACATTTTGCGTTCACTCATTTCTGACTAAGTGTCAACCAAAAGCCACTACATCATACCTGCATAAAGACAAGCAAAGACAGCAACTATGAAGTCCACACCTATAAAGATGAGAAGAAACAGCAGTAAGCAAATGGGTTACGAAACCCACATAAACATTTCCTACCGACAGAAAGTCGTCCTTTCACTGGGACTCCAGTAAGAATCTACTGGCAAGATTTGTGTCTGCATTTCAACTGTTCGCACATGTTAGCTGTAGCACCTTGTACGGACGGTCGATCGTAGGGTCACGCAATAAATAAAATTTTCTCGGCTTGATGGGTTGTTATTATCGTTACTACCAATGCTGATTTGTACGAGGCTTCGCTGCATGCGGTGCGAGTTCCGCTATGATAACACTTATGACAAAAAAATTGTTTAAGGTATTTGTTTGCTATCTGCTGTAAGCCAAGCTAACTTTAAAATTTTTGTAACTACCATGTACACCAAACCCCAAATTGTAACCGTTTTTGTGGCAAGTGGGAGTCTTACCCAAAGAAATAATGCAAAAAAAGAGGTTTTTAGATGAAATGTAAGCTGTGAGATTCTAAACGAGAAAAGATCGAAATAAACATACCGGGAGTAAAAAGAAGAGCTACATTGTCCCCAGAGCTAAGACGGCCTTGTTCTACGGCCATCTGAGCGACGCGTTCGGCTCGCTTATGAAGCTGAGTTGTAGTTAATAACGTTGATACAGTACCCTGAAATTAAACAACATGAAGTAAACATGGCGTATTAGCGCAAACTTTCAACCCAGTAAACTCAAACAAATAAATAACTACAAACGTCGTTTCGCCATTAGTCATGCGACTTTTACCGCGCTTTTCTGTGACCTTGACAAGTTTCCCCGTGTGTACATTCCCGCGCTTGGCGCGGTGATTATTGTTTACTTGGATTCCTAGTGATTTACCACACCGTTTACGTTTACTAGCCCCAGGCTTAATCCGCTAAAAACAAAATTAGTTCACCTTTGCACTCATTAATGTGAATAACACGTGATCAGGCAGGGTTTGCGCCCTCCACTTGAGAATCTCTGCTAGGAACTGAGACTGAGGAACAAAAGGTGACATCACATTGATATCTCAGAAAAGAAACAACATTTTTAAGTTTGAAGAACATGTTTTCAGTTGAAAATGCTCGTGTTACAATTTGAATCTAACTTTACAAAGATTATGCTATCCAGATTCGTGAACTATTTGAATAAAATATAACAAGCACAGAGAGGCAAAAGTGGTATTTCGAAGAATCCCAGGAAAATAAAACAATACTTAAAAAGAATAATTATATAAATAAAATAAGAATTTGCTACAAAGAAAGAAATAAATCTAAGTGTTTTAAATATTGGTTTGGAGTCTAATTGTCCCATTTAACATACATGGCTCCTCTATCTTCTACCTTTGATATCAGAAATAAACACTCCACTCTATTACGCTGCGCAAAGTTTGCCAAGTTGAGAAAGTACTTTGGTCACTCATGTCAAAGCTCACGGTCCCTCTAATCTCCCTTCCAGGTACTTAAAGATTTCTTTGTTAATAGTTACAAGAACTTTTTCACCAATAAAGATAACTGCCCTCTAGCTGAAGAGTTTTCAATTTTTTCTCTGATCACTGTTTTCCCTTCAATTAATCACACCGAAGTTTGTTAGTTATACTTCTTCATTGCCTCTGATGCAAACTGTCTCACTTCAAATTACAAGTTTTTTAGGCATGTGGCTGCCACACGATCCGTTAATCTAAACTCATATGGAACATACTTTCAGGTCACAGCTTAAGGACCTTGGGCTACTTCAAGGCTGCTATAACAGAACCGAAAGAAGTGTTTACTCATCCAAGATACTGGTTCCATTTGTGTATGTTACCTTTCTCGCCATATCGCTGTCCTCCTCTTTGTCTGCGATCTCTCGGCCAGCGGCTCCTCCTATTCTTGTCCCCATCACAATGTTACCGACCATCGTGGCAGCAGGACCAGGCTCTGAGGGAAAAAATAGTACTCAAAATCCTCGTACGCGAGCTTAACAATGGCCAGCAGTTTTTGGTGCATACTATCCTTTTCAATTATCTACTTCCTGTCATTGTGTTGTCTGTTTACCTCTAAAATACCGCTTGTTGTATTCATCTTGTCACACGAAGTTGTAGTTCAGTTACCTGTCACGCAGTTCTTGAATGTAGGTTTGTAACGCAAAACTCGTATTTTGCTTTCATAAAACGCTTTTTACGCAATGCTTGGCGGTTCTGCTTTCCACACCTGTTTTATTCTTAGCTGTATAAATCCTAGTATTTTGCCATCATACAAAGCCTCTAACTTTTATTTGCTTGTAACGCGTACCACAACATAAGTACATTCTCACCAGGGTGTTTTTGCCTTGGCTGAGGTAGATTTGTGACGCATGTTTCGGGACACATCAAAATGTTTGCTGGATGAAGAGAACCTTCCATGAACTTTTGTCTTGTCTCATGTATATGAACAGCGCCGCTGCTTGTCTAAAGAAAGAGACACAACTTGAGTTCAACTTCAAGGCATAGCTTCCCATAAAGTCTTCTTTTAAAAACTTTTCAATACGTTGTTAAAAGTGATCAGGAACTGTCAAGTTTCATTTTACTTCGCTCAGTGATTGGTTGAAAACACTTATAACACCTTGACCAATCAGATTAAAAACCTTAACCAATGGCTTCTTGCTCACTTGTTTTTTCCCACGCTTCGGAAGTTGGCAAAGTTTCACCTTGTATTCTTATTAGCTCCTAGTGATATTTCTTTTGTTCTTATCGGTTGTTGTGATTTTTCTGGTTTTTTGTTCACAACGCATAATCCAGATGCGTTTTGACATACAAGTTGTCCGTTGACCATGCAAATTTGGCCATTCAGCACTATAACAAGGCGAATGAATTTCAAAAAATCTATTAAGCGGTGGGAGAACCTACCTTTGGTAATCCATTAGAAGCCACGAGACATAAGCAATAGATACCAACCTGCAACAGAAACAAAAATCCAATCTGAGTGCAATGCCTTAAGGAATTTGTACTTCACACACAACACTTACACAGTGTCATAGAGCATTATGGTACACAACCAATCAGGAAAGAGGATTATGTACAGTACAAATAAACCATTCGTATGGCCAGATCGGTATCCAAGATGGCGATTTGATGTAACGTCATGAATGTTTTCTATTTACCACGTGGTACATAATCATCTTCTCTCATTGGCTGAGAACCATGGCGCCCTCTTATACTACTGACGACTTAAATACTCACAATTTTAAAGACTCTCTTTGATTAAATGACTGAAAATTCACACCCTCTCTGAGAAATACTTACATTGTGTATACTGTCCACTGAGGGTAACACGTGACTCATCCACTGAAAGCTCTGTTTGAGAAATTACGACAGAAAAATTGCAATCATACATTAGAAAAAATGCTTAACATCATCGATCTCAAGTAGAGGCAAAAATGGATTTCTAAGCGATGAGGACATACTTTGTAATACAAGAGGAATTACTAAGAAATTTCCAACAATGATGTGGGCCCTTTAAAATGACCATCATTAATCTTTCACTCCCACGAGGCCAATTTTAAAACGAGTGTTGAAAGTCATCCGGCACTTAAATGGTTTTGTTTCATCATGTTATGTGATTGGTCTATAAAAAATTCTCGATTTTCTTTCGACTAGTCAAATTCAAACTAAAACCAATCGCGACTTGATCAATAGTGTTTTTCCACGCTCCAGGGAGTCCACTAGCTTTTCCTTTGAGTTTTGATCGGCTTCGTTTTTTCTTCTCATAGGTCGTTGTGATTACTTTGGGACTGATTATACGACACTCCTTCGAAAAGCGCTCTGTGTCAAAAATAATTCTCCCCTCTGTCATTCTATATCGCCTAGTTGTCAGAAGTTTGTGTTCTATACAAATAATATCCCTGTGTTGATGTTATCAATTCTCTTTACTTGTCTGTTTGACAGGGTCTTGTAATTGTACGGAGAAGTCAGGGAAAGATCAATACTTGGAGTCAAGGGTTTATTTAGGTTGCTCAACGAAGTAAACAGTTTGAACTGACCTCTTCTTCTGTGCACTGTGGTCTTTGTTCAGCCACAACCACAATTCTATCATCCTTTAGAACTGACAGTGAAAATATAGCTATACTGAAAAAAAGCCGGGAACGAAAAGGATAATGATGTCTGTACAACATTACGCTAACACTTCACATCTCCAAAGGCAGAGCCTCGTCTTTTCCCATATCTGATATTAGACACAATTCTATAGCGGAAGTTTTCATTCTATGTAAAGACCACTTTTCAATTACCCCTCTCCCCTCTGATGACAAAGTTCGGACTTAGACTCAAAATATTGTACTCAACCCGTGCCAACAATGTCATCACTACCCAGGCCCCAGGCCCCAGGCCCCAGGCCCTTCATGCTGAAGAAAACGAGAAAAGCTCCAAAGGTCTTATCAATAAGGATCTGTGAGCTGACTTTTTTCTAACTAATTTTCAACCGTGTAAGCGATTTTAAAATGTCACTATTTTAATCTGCTGTCACCAACCTGCCTCTGTAGACAAATTTCACGGGATCGACCGCCAGGATCGTTGCCTTAAGGTCATCAGAATTGTGTCGTCTTCCACTAACTTTAATCAAACCATCAGCCGTTCCACACACAAATACTAACCCACCCTAGAGAAAAGGCAACGAGTCAAAAACCTTTCTCTAACAATATATCACACCACGCAATAAAAATCAGGATAAACGATGAAAAGTCAAGCTTTACTTCAGCAGGAACCAGCTGTTCGAAGACTGATTAGCGTTAACCCAGTGTTAAAAATTTCAATCCGGGTTTCTTTATCCCTTTGTTCAGAAGCCTTTCTCGGATATTTTTCTCTTTTCTTTGAAGGGCATCCAGTCATCAAATTGTAGACAAAAATGATTGTGCTGAATATTATTTGAAAGCTTCCAGATCTGAAATCAGATTTTACACTAACCCTGGGTTATCTTAAGCCCAGCTGTGAACAACCAGGCCCACTTGATTATGTTCTGTTCACACCATCACAGTAAACAAAAATGTCAATTTCTCATACGTACAATCTACAAATGCTTTGAGAAAGCACCTTTCATCGCTTAAGGTAAAATGTGTGGCCCTTAGCGTACTTGCCATTAGCCTATCAGATCCAACGAGTCAAACCATTTATTTTTATTTTAAAGAGACTGCTATCATTGATCGGAACTTATTACCACAGCAATTAACTCATGCTCCATTTGATGGCATTTCATACGAAAGATACAATCAAAAGTGTCCTTGAACGCACAAGGTAACGAATCATACATGTATACATAAGAATTGTGCATGCTCAGCTCTCAACAAACTGAAGTCGCGAGTCGTGTAAATTGGTTGAGAAAAAAACTGATCAGAGAAAACTGATCATTAGCACTCAAACAAAATTTTCTTACTGGTCCTAAAAATCCAAGCAATCCAGTTCTAACAAAGTCACTAAGTGGATACTGTTCAAATGGCGCACCATCATCTAGAGTTGGTTGAACCTGTTGATCAAAGGAAGAATCAGAGTGCATTAAAATCAACGGATCGCCACCCCCTGAAAGACATCATTCCTGTCCAAAAGACATATGTACATAATCTTAGGAAAAAAGGCTGCGCACGCCCGAAAATTAATACACAGCGCTTTATGAACACCTTTGTAAATAGGTTGATATTTAAGCTCCATTCATTGTAATGACATACTTTTTAATTCATAATATGTATGAAAATTTCTGTTGTAGTTTTTCCGAATTCGTTGTAACATAAGATATGTAGTTTTATCTTATGATGGAATAAAGACTTTATTATTATTATTATACTATATTATTATTAGAAAGGCACTGTCTCTTTATATCAACCCCTGAGGTGATTTACACGTGAATTCTCCATGTACTGAATATTTGAACATTATCCAGCCCACAGGTAATGAGAATACTCAAACTTATCAGATGGAAGTTGTTATGTTGATCTAAACCCAAATTCTAGGGACTAATTTACAAGGAAATGTGTGGCAGTAAGAGGGGAGAATTAACCATCGCATCTTAGCACTTAAAGGGTTAATAATTATCATCGCTATCTGGCTACAATAAAGGAAACCAAAATACAAAAAAAAACAGAAAGAAAGACCAAAATTTTTCCTCTCACATTGTAATTGTATGATGTTAAGTACATCTTCAAGATATTTCGGGATTAGCCTAATTTCCACAAGACATTTAGCCTCTTATGTTTACAGTTACTTCAAAAATGGCTATTACCTTAAATGTTTGATTTGTTTTTCCAGCTAGACCCCAGTATGCACTCCCTGTGGCTCCACTTGATATGCACAGTTCACCAACTTCATCGCTCTTACACAGGTATGGGGGACCTTCAAGCTTCACCACCGCTATCTTGGCTATAAGTTGAAAATGAATCAGTACAATTAAATACAGTCTTCTTCTGTTAACAACAAATTGCAACTGGTGATATGCTTGTGGTGGCCAGCAAGCTCAAAGTTTGACCCACATTATAGAGATTCCATTTTCAGCAGCACCATTTTAATTTCAGCCAGTCAAACCATGGTGGTCTCCTCTAGTGTGCGTTTGCTAACTTAAACATTCGTTCGTGCCCCTCACTTCCCAATCCTTTTTTCCACCGTTACGGCAATGTAAAGTATTCCTAATCCACTATATATGAGAATTGATGGCTGAGGTTGTCAGCCATTGATGTGATTCACTGTCTTAGGGCTGGCTGGTGACAAAGGAGGGACTCCCAAACATTTTGGCCACCCAACTTCCTATTGTACCCACCCTCCAGCTTCAAAGTACATATTTATGCCACCAAAAATCAGTTTTGCAAAGAGCTGAACCACCTCAATATAATGGTGAAAGGATATAGGTTTACCTCCAGGCAACACTGTACCACAATCCTGCAGGGTCAGAGATGTTAGAGATCCTTCTTTGTCAACTCTTACCACGCCATAACTCAGTCCAGATAATGAAAGAACTCCACGACCAGTGGCAGTAGTTCCTGGCTTGCCCGGTCTGAACATCGAATAATAATACGGTATGTACCATGTAAATGTGAAATTTAACGTAACATTTAAAATGTCAAGTCACGAGAAAGACAATAAAAACGCAAAAAAAAAACAGTAAAGATAATGCTTTGTGAGGAAGTTAATTACCTTCTCAGGGCAACTGTCATTGTTTCTGTTGAACTTGCACATGGACAAAGGGCTTCAGGTTTCAGACCTTTTGCTTCAAAAGCATTCACAAAAGAATCACAGGCTGACAAAGACCCTTGGAAGAAAAACAAATAAAGATGTTAGAAATGTAAACTGTATATATGGTTTCTGGAGGCCCCCCCTTGTCATCTATTAGATATTGGTATGTATAGGTATTACAAACTTGTTACTCTGGATTTATAACTATCTTATAACATTTATACCGTTACCTCTCTATGAATGGAAAATAAAATTGCCTTGTATTGCAAACTACATCTATGTAAATAGATAAAGAAAGATGGTAATTTAATTTTTTTTTTAGCTTGGCTAAGAAATAAGGTCTCTGTGGTTCAGAGCATGGAAGCCTGGACTCTGAAAGTCTGAGACCTGATTCCTCAAGGAAAATCAGAATTTTTTCTTTATCCCTTGCTTGTCACAAGACAAAAAACATCTTTCTCTACATTTATGCAGTAAGGTAAGATTACTTTGTCATTTTGTAAAGCTTTAAATCAATAATTTTCTCTTAGACTCTCTGATCGACCAGGTTCATAATCTGTCAAACTTTTCAAGGGCATTTTTTTTTTCTATTTTTCATGACTACCAATCTAAAAGTTGGTGTTACAATAAATAAATAATTTATTTAAAGTTGATAATGAAGGAAGTGGTTGCCCAATCTTCCAAGCCAGTGGCTCATGTTAACAACACTTGACCCCAGATCGAATTTGAATTTGGAATGTTGGTTTTTGCAGAGGGAGGAAAACCAGAGGACCCGGAGAAAAACCCTCAGAGCAAGGACGAGAACTGACGACAAACTCAACCTCACGTGACACCAGGTCCGGGAATTGAACCCAGGCCATGGTGGGGGGAGGTGAGCACTCTCACCTATGCACCATCCCTTCTGAGAGAAGATTACTCTATCACAGCACATGAGTATCTGTATTTCTTACAATGAGCTCAGGAAAGTAATGTTCAGTCACTAAGTTTACATAACTTTCCAGGCCTACAGAGTTTTCAAGACCTCTACAAACTCTAAGTTAATTGGCAATAAACTTCGTCCAGCAGATACAAGAGGCAAATAAATATATCTTATTAAACAAGCGCAAGGACCGTACTGGGAGAATATCGGCCCGAGGTATTGACAGTACGGACCTCGCTGTGCTCTGTCCTTACAAAAAAGACTGAGGGCCGATATTCTTCCAGTACAGTCCCAAGCAAGCTTGGTTAATAAGAGATTTATTATACGATTGAAGTTCAAAGGGAGGCAAGTGCAGTATCATTCGGGACCATTCGGGACAGTGCCCGGTCCAATACTAAGAGAATAATGACCAGCAAAAGAGCATTTTGATTGGTTGATTTTAGTTATTGGCCCTCTGACTGCCTGAGTGGCGTAATAACATCTTGATATAACACAAAATTCTTCTAAATAATTAACAAAGGAATGTTTGAGCACTTAAGGGGAGAATTACTTAACAGATCTTGGGAGTTAAGGTTGAAATAGTTTTAACTGAGATCACTTACATGGATTCACTGCACCTGCCAGAAGTAAAAACCGAATGGTACCAAGATTGACATCTTTGATATCTTTGTTGGCATGAAGAGACCAGTGGAGATTTCTTGAACTAACCAAAGCACATGTTGCTGATGAAATAAAAATGAGAAAGTTTATGCACTCATCTCAATGTGCTTTCAAGCATTTAATAGCAAACTCAATTGAGTGTTGAAAGTAATCCAGGGCTGCTTTGGTTTTGCTTCACTTTCCTCTATGCTTAGTCCAGAAAACTTGTGTCATTTTCTCAACCAATCAAATACAAAACTAAAAGCAGCCATCACTTGGTTGCCTGCATTTTCTCGTGCTTTAAGCAGTTTGGTTGTTTTTACTTTGAGTTCTCATGGGCTCTTAAACACGAAGGCGCACTATATAAGGAAGTCTTCCCTGCGAAGACCTAGGCTCATTTGTCACTCACCGTTGACGTGTGCGGGTCAAATTTAAATGCCGATAGATGAACAACAGGAGCTAATGAGATATCTATTGTTTACTTCCACCAGCATGGTGGCAATCAGGTAATGTGCAAACCACCCACTTTGAGCTCAAATTTACTGCCACAAATAAAGACACTTTACATTGGAGAAAGGAAATACAAATCTCAAAAATTCTTGTATTGTGATGAAGACATAAAACAATTTTGAGGAATGTACCCGCTGTTCACAGCTTTGGAGTAGCTGTAGCTCAAGCTGACTGGACTCTAAGAGTTCTACATCACAGGACGGTTGATTGACAAATGGTCCAGTGGGACCTAAGGCTCCTTTTATAGCGCGCCTTCATGTTTAAAGTGTTTTCCTTTCTTGTGATTGGCTGTTATTATTAATTTTTAAACACTCAGTCAAAACACACTCTAATCAAAGAGTCATTTCTGTATAAGTAATTTTAGAGAAGTTGTCAGAGAATTTAAAATATTGTTGAAGGTTGAAGCAACTTAGAGGGTCATATACCTCTGTGTTTTGTTACCATCTGCAACCACATGTTTGGTGAATGATCCAGAACAGATGGTGGTACATAAATCACATGCATGCCATTCATCACACTCTGTGAAAAAAAAAAAGATAATTATCTTAAACAGTGTGAAAGAACTCTCTTGCGTCTTTCACAGCCTACAAAGACTGCAGCATACTTCTTACAAAGATTTAAATTGTATTTACATGTACCCTTCTTCAGACCAAAAAAAAAAATGATACTTTTGCACCTAGACAAGGCCAATATAAGTGATAAAAAAGGTGAAACACCAAAACATGCTGACCAACACTTTACAAAACTTCAAAAAGCACAGTCACTCACTGTTAAAATGGAGTGCCACAATCCAACTTCCCTCTTTGGATCAAGAACACTGATCATTATTTCACCTTGTAATTAAACAAAAAAATAGTTAAATTAGGTAACAAAATTCATTTTTTTGATAGTTCTTCAGAAGTAAGGCTTGGAGGTTCTTGTCCAGGTAGGATGGGTCATTGGGGTGGAACAACCCACCATTTACTGATTCAAATATGAACCAAAAGTGGCATTTGGCCTGGACTTTACAAAAAAGGGAAAAAAGCAAAAAAAAAAAAAGGGGGGAAAGGTTCATTATCTGTTCAATTATGTTGGGTTGAATCTTTGGGTACTTTTTACAACACGTATCTTAGTTTATTTGATCAATTATGTTTGAAACTGTTGTTTGGGAGAATTAAAAAAATTCTGCCAATTGCATTCCAACAAAATAACTGTACCCAAAAATTTGGTATCTGAAAGTCAACTAGTCAGAAAAGAACAAAATGGATATTAATCAATGACTTAAATGTCGAAAACTTGAAAACAAAACCTAACTACACCATAAACTGCTCACCTTCTGTGTATAAACATGCCTGACTTAGGACCTGTGCATGTAGGTTCATACTCATTCGTGTCACAGTCACACCCATCACTGCACCATCCTTTCCTACTGTGGACTGGCAACAAAAAGAAAACTCAATTCAATTTTAAACTTCTCTAATGCAATTAAACATGTTCAAAAGTGCAAGGATTATTCCTGTAATTCATTCCAATACCCCCAAATTAAAATCAATTTCTGATTTCCACTTTTCCAATTTCTGATTTTGTTTCAACTCTAGCAAAGGAACGGACAGTTTGAGCTTAAAAAAAAAAACTGTTTTGTTCCCATGTCAGAGGCTTCAAAGCTGACATGGTTGAAGAAATGCAAAAGGATTGCAAGATCAAAGGTTCAAATCCTGTTGAAGTCCTGGATCTTTTTTTTTTTTTCTATCAGGGCTCTTCTCACTCAAAACCAATTCAAAATTTTCAGAGAAGATCATTGCTGCATGATTTCCTGCCATCATAGCAGGTATAACAAGTGATGGACTTTATGCACACATCCATAGAAGGAGATCTATCATATTGATACTAATCATAACCACAGACTGACATAAAAATCAAATAAAAATTTCAGTAAATCAACCATGTGTAGACAAAACCTCAATGTAAGCTGGAGAACTTCTGTCCAGATTGGAAGGTGGTTGCCAGTCTTTAGGATGTCTGTTGAGGTTTGCAGTAACAAACCATTGTAACTTGGGCCAACCTAAAGTAAAAAGATTAAGTATGGCTATAAGTATGTACTGCCCATGGGATACAGATATATAGTTTATGGTGTTCTGTAACTGTAAGCAAACAAAGTAAGTTTTTAATCAAGAGGAAAGAAAATTGCACATAAATTGTGAGCATAGGAGTAAAAAATAAACAATTTATCTATTTATCTATTTTTTTATTTTAAGTCAATAATGTAGGAAGTCGTTTCCCATTCTTCTGAGCCAGTGAATTGTGTTAAATACACTCAACTCCAGATCGAATTGGAATTTGGATTGTTGGTTTTTGCGGAGAGAGGAAAACCGGAGGGCCCGGAGAAAAACCCTCGGAGCAGGGACAAGAACCAACCACAAAATCAACCCACTAATGATGCCAGGTCCGTGAATCAAACCCGGGCCACAGTGGTGGGAGGCAAGCGCTCTCACCACTGCACCATCCCTGCTCCCTCAGATAAATAAACTGGGTATTAAAAAAAAAAAAAAAAACAGCCAATAATTAAAAATTCATAATTCATACATAGTAAACAAACTTACAGTAGCACCACATGTACTGCAGCACCTTAAGGTAAAATCTGTACGTCAGCCTATTGCCCCACCCAGCCTGAGCTTATCCAGAGTTTTCACGTAGCATGAAGCAACTAGGAGTATTACTACTCCCCCTCCCCTGGATGGGATGCTAATCCATCCCAAGGTTACCCCCAACATTTCCGCACCCACTTAGCCTCCTAGGTGAAGAGAGGAGCTGTGAGAGGAAAGTGTTTTACCCAAGAACACAACACTTTGACAAAGTCTCTCCCCAGGCCTCCAGTGCACTGACCCCTCCCACTGCACCACCTAGACATATGCCAATTGCTTGTTATTTGAGGGAATTACACCAGCTTCCAGTGTAAGTAGCTATGCACATTTTACAACATCATTACATGTTGACTGGTAGAGTAATGGATAAACAATTATAATCAGTATAATTCTTGGCCTGGTGCAGTGAGTTGGAGACTAGTTAACAACCATTGAATTATTCCTCACCTTTAAATGTGGTTACATGTCCTGTGTCATCTTTGGGTAAACTCTTGAGACATGTTTCAGAAGTGAGGGCCCAGGAAACTCCACAACTTCCAAGAAGAAAGCCAATTTGCTGACAGCCTGGGTACTCTAAAATAGGCTTCACATTTTACTTAGTGTTTTTAAAGTTAGGGATTAATAATATATGATGTATATCTTCACTCAAGCATACAGAGTTTATAATTTATGGCATAAGAAAATGAAACAGAGGAAAAACAAATGAGATATAAAGTAACCAAGCAGTCAAAATTCTAACTCTGGATTGAAAGACCACTCCACATTCAAACTCAAGCTGGGTTAATTTGCTATTTTGCTGGGCAAGATACTCAAGTCAAACAGTGCTTACCTTCAACCACGAACACAAATCTAGCAAGTTTTTGAGAAAAATTTGAAGAATTCTTTGTATTTTCTTATGATAGAAATATTGGCATTCAATCCAGAGGCTGTATCCTTAGTTTTAACCTACAATACTGTGACAGAATTTGAGTAAGTTCCACTAAAATTCAGCCACTTAGCATCAGAGACTTTACTCATTACCAAACCCATAAGCATAGGAAACAAATGCAGAAGAAAAACTTCTCAATGCCAAGATGTACCCAGTGCTAGTTCAGTGCTAAATAAAATGTATCTTCAAAACTGCCCAATTCTTATTCAAGAAGTTTGGTTTGAGATCGATGCTACTCTCAAAGACACCAACTTGGAAAAGATAAGAATGCAATAAACACTGCACATTTGATTGAGCCAATACAATATTTAAAGACTTACATCTTTACTTGCAGGTGGCTCAATAGGAACAGGTATAATACCAGCAATAAGACAGCCATAAAAACTTGTTATGAAATTGATAGGGTCATCAGATTGGTACACCAGTGCAACCTGTACCAGGACAAAAATCATAAATGCTCATGACAACTGAATTTTTTCCTTGACAATTACCAAGCTTACAATTCATATTTAGCACAGGGCTCAACACTAATGGTAGCCGACTAGCCACAGACTCGTAGAAATTCAGTTTTGGCTAGTGGTTTTCGATTCCCACTAGCCAGTTTGACTAGTAAACAAACTAAAATTGTTGTTAGTAACATCTAAGTTGTTACTAGCCGCTTGGCTGGTAAGTTAAAAAGTTACTGTTGAGCCCTGTTAGTAGCATCTTTTTTCTTTCCTTTCTGACCACTGCTTTGGATGTTGCTCATCCTTGCAGAATGAAGGACATGTGGCTTTCATGTAAGCAAGTAAGGTAAGTATCTACAGAACAAGGGATAATGTGCTAGATAGCATGCCATGATTCCCTTCTCTTCCCTATGCAAGGAGTTGACTACAATGGTTTAAAATCCCCACTACATTCATGAGAAAATGTAATGGGAGTATGACATGATCTGAACTGGGTATACAGCCCAGTTAAGCTATGCTTGTGTAGAAATTTGGCATAATGCCATGCAACATGTCCTTCCAGGAGAGTCTGAAGGCATGCTCCCACAAAAATTTAAAATTTGAAACTCGGTGAGATCCAGCTTTCAGTGACATAATTTATTTGAGTCTCTTTCTTTAGCCACACATTGATTTAAGAATCTTTGATAGCACTTCACAAATAACCCCACAAAATAATCTGAAAGCAGGCCAGTTTTTGCCACATACTGGCTTCTAATGATAACTCTGCACTGTTTCCCACAACCAAAACTCACTATTCAGGAACACGACATGAATTTAGTGCATTACACACGGGTGTGCATCACACAACAGTAAACAGTCATCATGCATGAATGTTCTGAAAAAGCTGTCTATAAATGTGAGTTCCTCTTTTTTTCTTGTTTGTTCCAGAGTGTAGATTGTAGAAGCCTCACCCTGTCTCCAGTCATAACTGATGTTCCTTCGTTGTGACTGCCAACTTTGTTCAGTAAAGCATAAGCTAGCTTCATTGATCTGGACAAAAGTTTGCCTACAAAATTAAAGTCAAAATTAAAACCTCTTACAAATTTCTTCAATTAGCAAGTGTGACATACACTCAAATGTCCTCTCCCATGTTGAGATATTGCCATAGCCTATCAACTTAGAGATAAGTAACAAAATTAATATGTGCAGCTTTTCCTCAAAGCATCAATATATGTGCTTTATCCCACATACATGCACTTAAAATCTAAAGAAAACTATTAAGGAGTTTTTTTCCCAAGCTAATCCATATCAAGGAAAGGGAAAATAATAAATCAAAACTGGATAGCTGGGGGTTAAAATTGGAGGAAACAATTATGGCTAAACATGAAAAACTTGTTGTAAGTAGTAATATTGTACCACAATACAGGTGTACTTGAGCTTGTCAATATACTGTGGCAAACATGCAGAGAATTAACCACTGTAAGTCATAATTTGGAAAAGTTGATGGTCACCCACCATACGACAGAGTAACATTGGTCTTTCCATGGTTGTCCACAACAGAGAAGCATGGGGCCTTTGGGGACCTGGTAGCAAACTTGCTTAAAGCCTCTTCCAAGTTTTTAGGCAGTTCCTCAGGAAGCTATAACACCATGAAAACAAAAGAGATGGTCAAACAATTCCTATTTTATATTATATGCACGACTGTTGAATTCATGGACAGATGGTTCACAATAATTAATTAACAAAATTAATATTTTTATGAAACATATCAGTGGACCAGAATATTTGAATCCTTGAATCTGATTGGCTAATCAAGGCCTGGTAAATGGTCAAGCTTTTTACAATGTGTAGTGCACTCTAGAATTTTTTGGGCCCCCATTCATGGAAAAGCAGAAAATATAAGTTATTCACCATTCTAGGACAGACTGAAGTGTGCTTGTACCCGATAACTTGGGCACAGTTTTTCCTGTGCAGACCAACCCACCCCACACATTTAAGTACCTCCAAAAATTCCCCATTGACAGGCCTCAGGGTTTGTCCTTCAGGTCGGGGAGCATTTGGATCAGGTTTAGTTGCTGCAGAACAATAAATTTAAAAGCAAAATAAACATAATTAGTACACTTTACATACTTAAACAGTGGATAGCGCTGGAGGTGGATTCTGGTTGGCTACTCAAACTTTGAAAATCCTTTGCTATTCACCTCCAGGCAACTTGCCCTGGATCTTTGCTTCAGAATATTGTAATTGTTGCAGGAACAACTGTGTCAAAATCATTTTTTGCGCTATATTATCTCACTGTTTTAGTGTGAGCAAAAGTATCTCTAAATGTAAGCTGAGAGTGAAATAAAAGATTAATATAAAAGGTGCAACCAACATTTCCCTCAAATAAATCATGATCATTTTTGCCCAATAGTCCATTTTACAGTTGTGTGCTTAGTTGTCAAGCCTTTGAATGGGAGTGAGGCTGAGGGTGACCTTTTTATGATACAAACCTTGCTGCCTTTCAAATGTAAATCACTAGTGGTACTCAACCTCTAGTAATATGAAACTGGTCACTGTCAGAACTGGAGATTATGTTCGGAATTATTCGCTGTCACACCTACTGTTTAGCCCTCAACCATCTCATT